ATCATCGTCATCATCTTCTGTTCTTATTTTGTAGCACCTCCAATGTTATCCGCATCAGGAAATTGCGTTTTACTCGTATTTGAGAGCGCAATTAAAGGACTTGGCAAAGTGCCAAGGAGCCGCACGCGACACGCGCGCTTACGACGGATGTTATGAAGGACGGGAATCTGCGCCGCAAAAAGGTGTAAGGCGGAGCATGGAGGAATTAGCGTGTTTCACGGTCCTGTATCTCCATTCCTGGGCATGTTTGGGCGGGGGGACCACGACACATCGACAGCTGGGGGCTGATAGTCTCATACACCCTCAATGTGTTTGAGCGTACCATGTGTCTTTAAGGGCATTTGGGTTTGCTTCCCGACTCAAGACGTCCGGCACATTTCAAATATGATGTCTCGTTGGACGATCCTGTAGCGGAGTCGTTCTTTGTTGACGTTTGGCAAAACACCGCACGTAACAATATGCTCATTTATGAAGAGGTATGTGTAAGTGTGATGAATTAAGATTTCCATATTGGAATGGTAATTTTCAAGGTGTTCCGCACATATCCAACGGATAATGTGGAGACCTTCGAGGAGTTTGTAAAATGGACGGGACAAATGCCTCTGGCCGAATATTCACCTCAGCAAGCTCAGGAAAAGCTGAGGGATGTAAATGGTACGCTTATTTTGCCCATAATTCTGTTTTTTCCTGGGTAAATAAAAGGCCGAACGAGCTAAGCACACAGTGCAAAGAGCAATATTCATAACCTTGTGAAGTTACTCAGCTTGGAACAAAAATTTTCAAAGACCCTTATTCGACTGAAGTTTCGGCATTGTGACCTTCTTCAGAGCCGAGGAAGTCGAAAGACATTCGGGAAACCGTCCGTCCAAACACTGTTTCAGGTTACAGGAAAATTGAGAAAGATGCGTGGTCCTACTGGACAACGTTATTCGAAATTCGAAACTGCGTAAACTCTGTGATGACGGGTGACGTCGTCTTACAAGCTTACGCCGCCTTTTTCCTGTAAGTTGGAATAGTGTTTGAGTAAGGATTTCCCAGATGTATTCCGTCTGCCCTGGCTCTGAAGAAGGCGACAGGTGAATTTTAGCTGAAGTAGAAGTCCTTAACAATCTTGGTTCCAAGTTGAGTGAGTAAATTTTCAATTTTATAGGGAACAGAAACATGTCAACTCCATAGAAAGTCGCACTCGGATGTTTTTGTTATATCAGGGCTTTTGTTATATCAGGGCTTTCCCACTTGGGAGGGAACATTTGAATTCATCGGCAACGAGACGAAATGATACGCTACGCTACGTGACCACTCATTCTGAAGTGATAGTTCCAGATTGAGTGGTAAATGATACGCTACGCTACGTGACCACTCATTCTGAAGTGATAGTTCCAGATTGAGTGGTCAATCAGGGTGCGGTAACTTTAGCCAGAGCCTTTCCTGCTAAGCCTCTTTAATCCTTGATCACACAGAAAGCCCACTGTTGGCATGATGAGCACAAACTATTTTTCCGATCATCGATGGTATTACGCGCCCTATTACAATTTCACGTCCTATGATAAAGTCCATATAATTGCACCTGGACACGCATAGCGACAGCCACAGGGAAGGAAAGCTAACATCCTTTGTTTGCTATCTCTCCTGCTCAAGTTTCTTCTAGAAAGGAAGAGTTGACAGAAGAAAGTAGTATATCCACCTACGGCAGACGGCTTCGGCTACCACGCGGCGAACTACAATCGTCTTGTCGCATATCCCTTTTATGTTGGGTGCAACCACTGATTTGGTGGGTCGTATCCTAACTGGATAACTTGGAGCCTTGTAACTAATTAAATAACTTTTTACCCTAGGGAACTTTTTCCCTTCCTAACTCGCCTCTTTCATAAATGAAGCGGTTGGCAGTCCAAGTAGTCTCTTGAAGCTTCAGTCCGCACCCAGGTTGCAGAGACCTTAGTAATAGAAGCTCAATGCATGATAGATCCCGATTTAGACCTGGATTCAGGTCAGCGTGAAAACAGAACCGCTTGTTGCCCTGTCAGCCTATGCTACGTTATCGTTCATACCATTGCCTGGTCCATTGACAGGAATTTACGACAGCCTCCCCCCCCCTCTGCAAGAGGAAATTGTGCCTGACTCCATTTTATGTTTACCAATAAAAAACTACACTTACAGCAATTTGCATCAAGGAACATCTTGCAGGTATGAGACGCGGTACCCTCACAACAGCCCTCGGAAGGCATAAAGTTGAGCAGCATAATGGTGTAGAGTTCGAAATAAAGTGCGTATTGCTGGCACATGAGACGGAAATTTCCGCAAGAAAAGCATTAGAAGCGTTCTGGATTTTCACCAGAAAACCCAGAATGAACAGCCGAGATGAGTGTCCTGCAATAACAAATGACCTTCTGCCGTTTATACCACACTGCGAGCTGTAGAATGACAGAGCGCTACGTGCGTCTCCGCAATATTCTATTATACGGAGACAGCGCAGTATTCTTCATTTACAACTAACTGTCGCTCTTGTGTGGCAGCGGACACTGTCCCTAATAAGGTGGAACCGTCGGTGGGTTGGTCATTATTGGGGTCTTCTCGAGGGGTTCCTGACACGATGTCGGAACCGCTAGAGTTGACGAGGCGCTTGGTGGGTAGAGCGCAATCTAATCCTTGAAACACATTCAGGCCTCTGATGACGACGATTCAGTCGAAACGTTAGGCCATTGAATAAATAGTTCCACCTATCAACCTCGTAAGGCGAAAAACAAGTTGAGAACTACACTTACATTTAATGTACTACATTTACTTCATTCAGGTGTCTTGGTGGAATTCCCTTTGAATTTCTTATGCAAAGCAAATTTGACGCCGGGAGTAACGACAAAGGAAGGCCTTGTTCCAAGTGCTGTATTCACGTGACGCTTTCTATTGACAGCTGTCAGAACAGTGGTACCTCTTTTTATCTGTGTACAATTTGTTTCTCCATTCGATTTTTTTTCTCTTTGATTTAATTATCGCCGACTAAGACTTGTCTTAAACCATGTGCAACGCTGTACTAGTCGAAACGCTGTTCAGCCCTCTCTTTTTTTCTTCTGATGTCTCTCAAGTTGTTTATTGAGTTTCCATAACGGACAATCTCTCAGATATTTGTGCCAGAATGTATTATTTTGATATATTTTTAATTGATAATATGACGCCGATAGCTATCCATTTGTATTGGATTAGTTGTTTTTACAGGATGTAGCTATGCAATCCGCTCGTTTCTACGAGGTCTTGTTAACATACAAATTTATGTTTTGTATGATATTTATCAATGATGTTGCTACTGCCTCGATGTGATTTTTGCCGAGTATGTGTAGTTGTAATATAGTGCCGGTGCTTTCCAACCATTCTTCCTTGCTTCCCTATACATCAGTATTTCCCTTTTTCTTACTTGTATTGGAACTGTGAAATACGAAATTTTTTTTGCACTTTATCCTTTTGCACGTGGGCAGTGTTCCAGATGTTTTATTAGAATCATCTAGCAATTTTTGCTTGTTCTAAAAAACGAATTTCCTTGTCACGACCAAGCAGCTGCTCATTATGTGTTTTGGCAGCGCATTACAGCTTTGCTTGATAAATATGCAATAAATCCTCAGGTGAAAATCACACTATATTTCCAGGTTCTATTTTAGCATTACTTCTTAGAATCCCAATTTCTGAAAGCATGCTCGCATTTTGAACAAAATCTTTCCCGGGAGGGGGTGGAGCAGATTTGCTCAAAACATCGAACTTGCAGCGGACTACCCCTATGAACGCTAACAGCGAGCGAAATCGCGCGACATCCGTGCCTTGGGCGCTGGTGCCTCGGACAAGACCATCATGGAAACAATATAGTAGCCAGTTTTGGGAAAAGTCTCGAACAAAATCGGACTTGAGCGCCGAAGAGTGGGACAATAAAGCTGAAATAGCCCCCTTCCTTAGTCTTATGCTGTTGTTCACACTTTCCTCACTAGGAAAAAAAAAATTCAAAAGAGCCGCTGCTTTGTGATGAATGAAACCACCTCGAGGAGATCATTGAATGTTTAAAAAAGATTTTCCTGTGAATTTCACGGGCGAGCGGGCAAGAGGAATCGTAAAATCTGGCCGCATCTTCGCGCGCGGCAACGGTGCGCTGACAGCTTCTCAGCTTTCTAGTATTCACTCCCGCTGAAGTATCGAAACTTTTATGCAGATTAAGGGCATGGTAGACAGCTTGATAATTACTTATGGTTATACGTTGTCTGATTCTCGACGCGGTAGCACTTATAATGTCGCATTAGCGGGCGCAACCATTCGCAACGCACAGCCAACTGCTGCGACGGGTTTCGACTGTCCTTGCCAACATAACCTGGTTATTCATCCAAAATGGCAAATGCCTGGCACGTCATTTGCGTGTCGACATCGCAACGGAGATGGAGAGGGCGTAATTTTACTAGAATGAGTCAGAAACCATCTTGCGACAACGAATAAATCATCCTGATTGTAGTCGTAGGTGATGTAAAATTATCCTCCGGTACATTTACCTACAAGATAGCCGTATTTACAGGCGTGTGGGTATGCTCAGAGGCGAAGAGCAGATGTTACTTAGCTAAACGGTGAGAAACCTCAATTACACGAACTTCCTAACAGACAATTTCTCAACGGAAAGGTTGTTCAGTAAACACGGCGACCACGTTCTTTTTTGGAAAGAAGGTAATGCGTCATGCTTTGGATTCCAACAAAGTTGGCTTTGTTACTGAGGAGTGATCCCCTGCAAGTTTTGGCTGTTAAAAGCATGAAAACTCAAGGGAGGCTTAGAATTCCAACGGTGTCACATTAGATTCCAAACATGCCCTTCAACGTGCGGAGAATTTAGGATAAGTTAAGCGCATTCTATCGAGAGTGAAGTCACTGATTCTCACGCCTTTCCTTTCCCCGTACGCTTCGAACAAATGTGTGGACGGTAAAGGTTGAGTGGTCACACTCGCTCGTATATTTTCCGATATTCTCCAAAATAGCGTGCTCCAGCTGTGAGGGCAATCGCAACTTGTCGCTTCGCTGCATGCGGTCCATATGCATGGCGCTTCCCTAATTTGCATTAGCTTGTTGATTGGAGTGAAGAGGCCTTCATGTAGACGGCAGCATGATAGACACTTATTTCTCTCTTGTTGATACATTGTCCACTGCGCCATCTACGACGTAGGAACATCGTCTTTGCGCGCGCGCGACACCCTTCAGCGTGACTGATGCGATTGTCTTGTCCCACTCCAGTGGAGCGATTAATGCGCATCAAACCAGTGCACGCCCGTTCAAACTCCTAAGATTCGGTGCCAGTTATTCGTGGACGGTGGGGGGGGGGGAATTTTTGCACGTTTCGCTACCTTCGCCAATCGATCGTGTCGGCCTATCTAGACAGACCCTCTCTCGAGTTGAAGCGTTTTAAAACATGATGGCCTTGATTACCCTGTTTCCAGCTTCACAAGAGTTCACAGGTTTCGCCAGAGTGAGACATGTAAACCGGAACTGAGGAAGCAATGATAGTGCAAAATGCCCCCCCCCCCCCCGTCGACAAACAGCGCCGTCAGAATTTCGGCCATTTACCGCTCCAAAAGTCCTTAGCTGCAATTAGTGACAGCGGCAGACTTCCCACACTTCGGAGGTGTGTTACGTGAGGGTGATTCGAGTTTGTCGGGGTCGCACATGGCAATAGTCCTGGTGTGTAGTAAGGGTGTGCGCGCGTGGTGTCTCGCATGGGCGCCAGAGCTCAGACGCGTTGCGACTGAGCTGCTATTTTCGTGGGTGATCGTGTTGGCGTGGTGTGGCTTGGGCAGTATGGCGAGATGAGGAGCGAACATCTTGTTGGGGAAAGCTTGGTGTGTGGGAGGAGAGAGGGGGTATGCGCTGAGTGGGAGGAGCGCGGCATGGGGCTGGGAGTTGTGTGTGTGGGGGTGTGCAGTGTGGTGTGTGTGGTGGGGGGTAGGTTGTTTGTGACTGAGAGAGTGTGTGGTATTTGAGAGAGGGAGGGGTTGGTTCGAGAGTGTGGTTGGGCTTAATTCGATGAGAGTGGCGGCGAGTAAGAAGGTAGTTTCAAGCTAGTGGATAATTTCAGCCGTCCAAGATTTAAAAAGATTCTGAAATTATCCACTAGCTTGAAACTACAACAATGCCAAGATTAAGAGAAGGTCGATCCTGGTCGATCAGGTAGTATTTTTTAACTGATTGACTCATCATATCGTAGCTCTTTTTCAACAAATTAAATGGGTTCTGGTGTGAATGACGCGCAAGTGACACCACAGAATTGTATTGACAATTCTGCATGCGGTGTAAGTTGCCGAGTGAACCACGTCTACGGATTTGCCCTTCCGGCAGCCGTGTCCCGAGGTGTCAAGCTGCTCATTATGAAGCAGGCGCTTGTTTTTGAGAGATGCGTAGTGCGTAGCTTGCAGTGTTTGAGAGTAGATCTATGATCATTGCTTGTAGTCTTGTCACAACCTTAAAGCCTGGAGGACTAGTAGGATGTACTTTGTGGCGCGAATAGCTCATTCATCTCTTCATGTAGAATAATTTATCTTGTAAGCAAAAAAATTGAAAAATGAGGCCTTCAGACCAGTCGCAATCTTCGCTCTCTGACCTTGATTCGCATTATTCCACACAATGACCAGGAACAAATTTATCAATAATCAGAGTTACGAACACTTTGCTATGAAGGCTTAAAGCATCGAACAATAAATTAAGCAATACATGAATCATTAAGCGAGAAGATCTCATGAGGTAGACGGAAAAAGCCCGTTGTAGTCTGATGGCAGATAACTAATCCTCTGTTGTGGCCGTATCAGTGACGATCGGAATTCAGATACGGGAACAGCCTGCGGTAAATCCGCGATAGGTCTGGCTTGTCCAGCTCAGAGACCGACTCTCGAAAGCCAGCAAGCGGTGTGCTGGTGGAAGAAGTCTGCAAAAAAGGATAAAGTCTTCGCCGCTGAACATTCTCTTTTCAGTATGCGCACACAGTATTCACTTCTAAGCAGAATAACGTTGTGGCTTTATTTGAGATGCTATGTACCCCACAGAATGATTTGGGGGGAAGGGCGGGGGGCTGCCGATGTACAGGCAGTGTTCTTTATCTCCTCAACGAACTTCATAAAGTTTATCGTTCCGTAGTTTAGTCTATCGGAGGATAGAATACCTGGGTGGCATGGGAGAGAGTCGATACAAAGACTCGGACCATTGGCTCCCGGATCGTGGGCGTGGTAAGCGTTCCAGTTTTCACTACAGCACCTCACGCAGAATGGTGCGAAAATACTTCCAGCATGAATACCCAAACGATCGTGCATGTGACAGTCAAGGGAGTTGGTGTGGGAACGGTGCCTAACGAGTTGGGGAAACATTCGCCTTCGAAAGATTGAAGAATTTTTGAACTTCCCATTTGCTTACCTTCGTTAGAAGGGTTGTTTCCGATTCAGTAACGATTTCTGTCGCAATGGCGGTGATTGATGGCTCTTAAATAGCATGATTTATCACCATTTAAAAACTCAAGTTTTTTTCCAAAGAATCTTAACACCTACCCGCTGTCGATTCTTCGATTTCTTCCGCCATGGTTGTTGATCCCATTGTGGGCATCGCAGATGTCGCCTGTTCCGTCTCCTGCACTGTTTCTTGAGTTTCTTTTCCTTTAGTACCGCAGGGCACTGTCACAGAAGTGGGTGCAGCAGTAGTCGTGCTGGTGCACGGCATCCCTTTCGCCATAATGGAGGAATCTGGGGAAGTAGTAACAGAGGGACTTTCCGTGGTGGTTTCGGAGGCAGTAGTTGTAGTCACCGTGGCTGATAGATCCGGTGAAAGAGTACTATGATTAGGAACTTCTTTCAAGAGGTCATCGCATTGAGTTAAAGCTACAGTCAGAATCGAAAATGTATACAGGACGTACATAAGCATGGGTGATGGTGGAAGCTATGCTGGCCATTTTCTGCCGGTGGTCATTTTATAGTTGTTCCACAGGGGACCACGCCCTGTCCAACCTGAACACTCGCAGATTCTTTGCAAAGGCGGGAATTAGCGTATTTTTATTGACAGGAATGTTTGCATAAGAGTGTCGCCACACAGTCGCGTACAACATGCAAAGTGCGAAGAGTGTGTGAACAAGAGGTGACCGACGGCGGCCATCTCAGACCAGAAGGACTGGTCGGCCAAGATGCGTGCACATAGTCAAGCATTCGTTAAAAAGCACTCACAATGGACCGAATCAACTCCATATTGTCGCACTCGAGGTATCACGGGGGACAGCTTTCATAAAACATTTTTATTCACAATTTTGGGCCTTTTGACTACAATTTGAGATGCGAGAATATGACTTTGTAAGGATCAGAATATTCGAAAAAATTCCAGAGAAATTCTTAAGACATTCCTCGGCACTATTTATCCTTTGTTGCCCCAATCATCCGGAATCGAGCCAATTTTGACCAACTTTTTTCTCCTTGACTTTTCCTCGAATGTTGTCTCCTCACTTGGCTCGAACGTTGTCTCCTGGGGTAACTTGAGCTCCTGAATACGATTATCACATCCGCTCGGTCCGAAACCTCCCACTGCCTGTGGCACGGGCGCCAGGAGGTTTCGGACCGGGCGGCTGTGATATTCGTGTTCAGGAGGTCGAACTTCCCCAGAGGGACAAATGTTTAGCCACTTCTGCCCGCGGAAGAAAAAGCCGGTCGTCCTGATTTTGGATGATTGGGGCATAATGGGTGAATAGTCCACATTCCTCTTTGAGATCTTATTGTTAGTGCCTAGCACCTTCATCGAGCGTGAAGTCTTGCAGATTGTATTAGACTTACAAAAGTTCAAGTGCCAAACTTACCTATGTATTGATCCATAATGTTGCAGGGAAATATCGTGGTGCTCCCATAAGCGATGACGTTTCTTCCACCTTACTAGTTTCAGAAACTCCTAAAATATCGCTAACGTTGACCTATTCAGCTACAGGGCAAAACACTCGTTCATTTTGTTGGTCAAAAATTGACTCTGTGGTGAAGAGATCTCTTTCGAGGAAGGAGACCTCTGAAAGTTGATATAAACTCGCGACTACATCTTGCGGACAGGGGCATTCAGTTGCAAACCTATAGTGGCTAAGTCACTCTCGAAGGAGAAATAGCAAAAAATAAGTTATAGAGAACAATAGAGAACACCTTAACCCTCTGGCAGCCTCACTGCACGAGTATCCCGACTTTCCTCGTTTTATACCTGCAGAGCGATGCTGTGCCGCTTCTGGTTCTTTATTCATCTGATCGCTTCATCCAGTGCTAGTAACATCTAACAGTGAGAAAAAAAAGCAAAAAAGGCGATGAAAGAATTGGACTTGTAGCAGGAAATAGTCTTTGAAATTTGTGGTTGGTACAACTAGGGGGCCCTAGAAGTGCCACTTACGAGGGCTACATCGCCTTCGATACTTACTGTGGAACCGCGAAAGTGGGCAGTTTTAGAGATTGAGGGTCCGACTATTTTTACAAGGGCGCGTATGAATTGGTTAGCCGCGCGAAGTCTCCCTAATGTGCAGGCACCTTCTTTGAACAAGGTAGTCTAGCCCGCACTCAGAGAGGATGTACCATTTTTGTTGACACTTGAATGCGACAACGGCAACGCCCCACTCGCTCCCTCACACCATATGCGATGTCATTCTCGGAGGTATCCTAATGATGCTGTTGTTACGGTACTATTAGGTTGATGCATATGTTTTCAACCCCGACTTTTTTGTAAATTTGATCCTTCCGTATTTCGTTTGCATGGATGTTGGTATTTCGTCATCACGTGTGCGTGACGTGTACATGATACTCTTTCATCACACTAGCTATCACTCACCCACCCTGCATTTGCAGGCCACAATGCCGCACAATTACCACTGTGAAATCATGTCACAGTGGTGATTGTGCGGCATTGTGGCCTTCTTCGGGTCCCAGCCCCCGTCCTTCTGGGAGGATGGAATCGACAAGCTGCTGGAGGTCGAGTGTGCATAACACTAATCTTCAGGCTGGTTCGCTATTGAGATATTTACAAAAAAGTCGGGGTTAGAAAACATGCATCGACCTAATACATACCTCTCTCACTCGGAATGTTGAGAGTAAGGCTGATATTGTTGCGATGCAAATGAGCTTTCGTCCGAGCATCTCTTCGCTGTATGCTCCTACAGACTTGTGTTGGCCGGGAGTACTGTCGTGGGCATCTCGAACACTTTTCAAATTTTTCTTCACAGTTGAGCTACCACCTTTTCATTCCTTTCTGAGCCTCAGTACCCAACCATTTGTAATTGCTGGTTGTGCCGTTAACACCAGCTTCTCTATGGCAGCACAACAGTCTGAGGTATTCTGCTTTTCCGAGGCAAAGGTGGTGTCGTGGGAAGTGGCACGCCCGCGGTCCGGGCCTCGAAATCCGGGATCGGCTCCCACCCAGGCCAACTAAGCCTTCTACCCTCAGGGACGGTAAACTGGTACCAGGTTCGTCTGGGAGGATAAGAGCACTGGACTTTGATCGGCTCGGCCTGCAGTCATTCTACCAGGGCCAGCGTTCGCATTCAATGAGATACTAACGCTTTCTGAAATGGAACTCGAATGCGTGCTGCATCCCGAAAAGGGATTGATCGGCGCGGAGACTATCCTCTTTCATGCTGCTTTTCAGTGTTGGAGAGAAGGTTTCGTGACAGCGCCCTAACCTCTGCAACTGATCGAGCGACCAGTCACAATTACAGCTCACCATCGAACTCGAGTAGAGGAGACGCTAAGAAGTGTAACTTCAACCGGTGAAAGCGGACTTTTCGAATCAGGAATCCCGACTCTAATTGAGCATCTTCACCATCAAATTCAGAAAAAGTGGTATGATGCTGGGGAATTTTCCCGTTTCGCACTGGCTATATACCACCTGTGTAAAAAGCACTTTATAAGGAACGGCAGGATAAGAATTACAAGTCATACAAGTCTTCAAATGCGCAAAGAGAAAACAACGATATGGACATAACGGGATGATATAATTGAACTCTCTAGCACCTCATTAGAGGTGACATTGACTAGTAACTAATAACACAAGCTCGGCTAGCATAGAAAATTTAGAAGATCATCGTCAAATAAATAAGAGCATGGAAACCGTAAAAGGTCCGTAGTTGCTCATAGAAAGATGAACAGTTGAGCATCATTCGATCGATCAGGAAATAGTCGATCAGTTAAGGGCTTTAGAGGCCGGTGACATCGGTTTGGAAGAGAAATCGTGGATTGCTCATTCGTCGTAATCGGTCCATCAACGGAGTCGAACTGCTTCTCTGAGGGCCATCACGTGCTGCCACCGAACTTGCAGCCTAAATGTTCAGCAGCATTCACAAATACAAGGAAAATTTCCCACAGAAAAATCACTATTTTGCGCCCTAAAATCTGCGCTGGGCTATTTGAAGTTTCCACTTACAAAGAATAGGTCGATTCATGCTTAGAGTTAATTCACGAACGTCATGACACCACGTGGGTGTCACAAAACGACAGTGAAAAAAAAACGTAGGAGCGCGCAGGAATAAGACACGGCTCGAAATATTAATGTTAGCAAGAAGAACTGTTATCACGATGACGCGACATTAACGGAGGAGAAAAGCCAAATTAAAAGTGAAGGTGAAGGTAGAAGTAAGTCTGGCGCGTTCAGAAGATGGCCAAAAATTACCTGTATAAGTCTCAGACGTTTTCGGTAATTGTTAGCCCTAACATGGTCGTTGAGGATCTGTTGGACGTACGATGAGGGGAACCATCCCGATGAGCCGTCGCCTCCTTTCTGACCAAAGAACCAACCTGAAAGTACTTCTCCTCTTTTAAGGAACGGACTCGAAATTGTTACAGTTTACGTAATCGCAGTTTGCCGACGGGGTGGGGACATTTTGCACTTTCGTTGCTTCACTAGTTTTACAAGTCTCACTCTGGTGAAACCTGTGAACTCTTGTGAAGCTGGAGCAAGCTCGTCAAGCCATCATGGTAAAACCTGTCAACTCGAGAAGAGGCTGTCTAGATGGGTCGACACGTCGATGGGAAGTCGTTAAAGTGCAAAATGCCCCCCTCCCCGTCGCCAAACAGCGCCGTTTACGTTTTTCTGGCGGAGCTGTGTCAGGAAGAGTGGGACGAGATAACCACTGGTACTCTACTACAAATTATCTTCTGTCTGAAGCACTATTGTTAAAATACGCAGCAGCGAATAGGCTCATTCCTCGCCTGTTGACACCGCCCTGACTGGTTGTGACGATATCAGCTTAAATAAGAAGATGAGGAGTGCGGGTTGTAAGCAGGGCAACTTCCACAGCTCGATGCTAGGGTAGCTCGTAAATAAGTTCTGATCGCCACACTGCCAATTGGCGGTGCACTTCTTGTCATCAGGATAAGGTACTCCCACTGTTCCCAAGTATTCATACGGAAGGATCGATGTATTGTGTTGCGCTGAACATCGTGGATGTGAAATCCTTATCGAAGGAGGGGGTTGGTGCAAGGCTTCTTGGGAGGGAGTCATAGTCGCCGAGATGTCTAGAAATGTGCTCTACAGTCTTTTTCACTGCGAAGACTGGGAGGTTCAGGAGGGATTAGGTTTGGCAAGGCGCCAGCCTATTCGTCACTAATCTTGGAAGCTGGCAGGCGACCACAACTGGTGCAAACTGAAAAACTAGCTACTAAACTGCTTTTATGACAGGGCTTACCATCAGGCATTTTTCTGAGAACATTGACCATATCTCCAACTTCTAACGACAACTCATCATCCTGGTTCTTATTGTAGCAGTGCACAGCAATGGCTTGCGGGCAGTCCCATTCTGCGTAGATCTTCTCTTCAGGATTCGCTGACTGAAAGGAAAAATTGACCAACACGAACAAGAAAGCTGTAGGATTCTGACAGTGTTTCGAATGTAACATTAGATTTTAGAAAACGTCAGAAGGGATGTAAAGGATTCTTTGTTCCATGTTTTCTTTGATTTCTACGGGTTCTATGTTTTTCATGTTATTTTACATGACTTGCAGTATATCTCCGAATAGTACTTACCGTGAAACAAAGTTCTCAAACAGTTCTCGAAAATTTTGAAACTGTCACCTGACTGGCAAACAGTCGCACCGAGTCATAAATGCCTTCCGGCAGATGACCTCCAGAAATTTATATTCAAATGCTGGCTCCCACGTCGGCTCAAAGAGATACCCTAGTTAACTGAACAGCTTTCGAAGAGCTGCCAAGCTAGAGTGTCTCTTTGAACGACGTGAGAGACCAACATTTGAAGATGAATTGCAACCCATTTCCGTGAATCCTCTCC